CTCTCCCAGATTGGCATCCCGTATTCTATAACGGGAAGGATGATTTGTTTGTAGTCAGCAAGCTTATTTTTCAGGGACAGAGTAGACCTCCTGTTGATGAGTGGATACAGTGATCTTATCAAGATGTTACACTTGGTTTTGGTTTTGTCAACGTGCTCCCTGAAAATCAGCTTGCTGTCTAGTGTTAAGCCGAGGTAGACTACCTCTTTCGACCATTCCACCACTGTGCCGTTCAGACAGATCTTATTATTCATCGACGGAACAAGTCTGGGAGATTTACAGTGTGGAAAGATGATGACCTGGGTCCTAGCCGCGTTGATACGGATCTTCCAGCTGTTGAAATATTCAGACAGGACGTCCAGGCCTCTCTGAAGTTTGATAGTCAGAGCTCCAATGACCCTACCCTTGTAGACGATGGATGTGTCATCTGCGAACAGAAACAACGATCCACCATCAGGGAGAGCCGGCATATCGGAGGTGAACAGGTTGAATAGAATGGGGCCAAGGATGCTTCCTTGTGGAACCCCAGCACCTGTTCGATAGATAGTTGTTAATTATCTTCACTAGGAAGATTAGAAGACCGTAGTGCTGCAATTTGAACACCAGGCCATCATGCCAGCCATTGTCGAACGGTTTTTCAACGTCCAACAACGCCATGGCAGTTGGTGGACGGTCGATCGACCTTTGCAAAAACCAAACTGCTCCTCGAGTAAGATTTTGTTTTCTTCGGCAGATGTTAGGAGCCGGTGGTAGACTGCTCTTTCGAATAGTTTTGATAACGCTGAGAGAAGGCTGATTGGTCGATAACTTGAAAGAGAGAACGGATCCTTCCCAGGTTCCCGGATAGGTATGACTTAAGCTGACTTACAGCACGGGGGAAGTAGCCAAGTCGGAGGCTGTAACCCGACAGCCTTACGAGTTTCCCGTTTTTAGTAAAAATGACTTAAGTGCCACTCCCGAGGGATACCATCTACCGAGACTAGGGTTGCCCGAGCGTATGAGACCTTTCAGGGAAGGTTCTGTTTTTCCCAAATGAATGGGCGGGAAGCAAGTTGGCTGTCGATCGATTACGGTAAGGACGGGAATGCCCATGACCTATTGTCGTGAAAGAATCAATAAAAAGAATGAACGAAAACGATTTCTGCCACCGATGAATTGCTCTCGCGGATTTTATCATCACGGGCAGGCTTGACATAACACTTCAAACGGATCCCGTTCGAATAGAGAGATATCCTGGTTGGTTTCGGGGCCAACTTCCCCAGTAAAACTCTGCACAAACTTTAAAAGAAATCGACCGGAAACGTGAAAAAGCCTTACATTCGCTTTTCTAGATCACTTTGGGAAATAATGTACAACAACTTTTTTATCTGTAGTGTGTTGGTTTATTGAAAACGCATCCTATTCAGATTCAAACTACCTCTTGTTCATCATGGTTTATTTTCGTACTCCTACTTTATCGACAATTTATTATTCTAGGCCTATCTCAAATTCATTCCCTCTAGCTACACGGCGCGATAACTGAAACTCGGACCACTCTCGCCTCTTCCACAAACCAGAACAAAGTGAAAGAATCAAGTCGCCGGAAATTACGTGAAATCAACGAAGTTGATTTTCACGAATTTTAAAAAATCGCCTTCACGCATACTAGTTAAAAAAAAAAAATACGAAGGAAAGCATTCTCGTTATACCAATTCGCTTCCCACCCGAAGTGCATGAAAGGATGGGACGGGTCAACAAATCCTGAAAGCAGAATTGTGCAGGTCGATGTCCGTGCGTTTACGCGTGGTTTGCTTAGACTCTTCGTTTGGCTATCGAATTACGCTTTGGCGCCCGAAATGGTACAGAGAACTCATTTACCATCTAATGAACATTTCGGTGAGTGAACTATTTGCGAACGCTTCATGCGTCAAGGGGTAATTCGATGGTGTTTGAAACATTTCAATTCATGTACAACTTTTTACATTTTGATTTTTATAATATGGCACCTGCCACAACAGATTAAAAATCAGTGCCAGATGGTTGTCGAAACCTGGGGCCTTCATGTTTTTAGATGATTTGGTATAGACCAACAGTTCGTCAGCCATAATCTCGGATCCGCTCGATCCTGTTAGCAAAGTTCTGATTTCTGAGGTCCACCATCCTTGGGTTGCTTGGATTGCCTTGTTCCATGTTTCTCGGGAATGACTCGGTTAATAGCGAAAGAGAAAAAGGCGACTTGTTTGCTCGTCATTTCAAGCAAGAGTTCCGCGATTTCTCCACTTCGCCGACACAAGTGCTGGATGCTACTGTTGGGATGCCACGTGATGTGTTTAGTTTCGATATTCCGCGCATTTCAGAAGACATTGTGATAGCCGCAACACGCAAACTGAAGCTCTCGTTTGCCGCCGGACCTGACGGCATTCCGTCATCAGTTCTAAAACGTTTTGTAGCCAATCTCTGCCTTGCACTTGCGAGGCTATTCAATCTCTCGGCACAGCAATGTGAGTTCCCCTGCCGCTGGAAACTGTCTTAACTGTTCCCAGTCTACAAAAAAGGAGATAAACGGAATGTCGCAAATTATCGTGGAATCACCTCCCTGTGTGCCTGCTCAAAACTGTTCGAGATTATGATAAATGATGCTATTATATCGATACAGATCAACACGGCTTTTACCCGAAGCGCTCCGTGTTCACGAACCTGGTGCAGTTTACTTCTAACTGTTTGCGATGCATGGCTTCAGGATGGCAAGTCGATGTTGCGTAAAGCTGCATTTGACACGGTGGACCATAATATCTTGCTTGGCGTCTCGTCAAGGGCTGTGGATTGGTTCAGATCTTACTTGGTGAGCAGCTCGGAAGTTCCGCAAGGCAGTAACCTAGGACCGCAACTGTTTTCGATCTTTTTAAACGACGTCGCCTTTCTGATACCATCAGGGTTCTATGCAGACGATACGAAAATCTACAAAATTATTAAAAGTCTCTTGGACTGTTGGGATCTCCAGAATATGTTAGGTATTTTTGCTGACTGGTGCTCAAGAAATTTGATGAGTCTGCGCATCGAAAAATGTAACATTATTTCCTATCACCGAAAAATTTAATAAATTTCTGACTATGTTCTCTACGGACGCTGTCTTGCCTCGTGTATTTTTTATCTAGCTTGTTTATTTGGAAGGCTCAATCGCGTTAGCTTTACGGAGCCAATAATTCATTGTTTTTAACAAAATTCACTTATATCAATGTCTAGTAGGAGTTGGGCCGAAATCTCGCGGCTTACTCGAGGTTAGATAGGTACATTGTTGAAGGATAGGATCAGGGGACAAGCTAGGGGTAGGGTTTCGTTGTCTCATCAGAGCGTTGTCGCCAGTATGAACGGTAGTGCGGTTCTAGCTTCGTCTGCAGTTCGAACGGCTATCTCTTGCTCGTGCAGAGCACATAAAGGATCTTGGCGTTACCTTTGACTGCAGACTCACTTTCAGAATCCACTACAATAAGATCATCTCCAGAGCTAATCGACAATGGGGTTTTATTTTCAAAATTGCCGACGAGTTCCGTGACCCGCTATGCCTCAGGTCACTCTACTGCTCGCTTGTGCTATCCTTATTGGAGTCAAGTTTAGTTGTTTGGTGCCCTTTCCATGCTAGCTGGATCACTAGAATTGAATCCGTTCAACGCAAGTTTGTGAGATATGCTCTTCGTTTCCTCAACTGGCGTGACCCAACGAACTTGCCACCGTACGAGGAGCGTTGCCGTCTCCTGGGAATCGAACCATTAGAGGTGAGACGGACGGTCGTTCAAGCTATGTTCGCTGGAAAGCTGCTTACGGGTGACATTAACTATCCAGCACTGCTGTCTCAGCTAAATATGTATGCCCTTGAGAGACCTCTTCGTCAACGAAACTTTCTGTTTTTGGAACCACGGCGCCGAAATTATACACAACGCGAGCCAATTCGAGCAATCAGCCGGTAATTCAACAACCTCTTTTATATGTTCCACTTCAATGTATCAGCTGACGTGTTTCATCATCGGTTACTTGGCCTTTTCCGTTCCGTTGACCGTGACTATTTAGTTTAAGTTTTATTCATTTAGACAATAATTGTCAGTTAAATTTTTCAATATACAAATAAATAAATAAACAAAGAGAAAGTTATTGAATATTTTTTTAGAATCGGTTAACTAGTTCCGGAGATATGGCCGAAACAAGATCCGAAAAACACGGATTTTGAGAACTTATTTGTGTTTCTCGGCAACCACTGATTTGAATAGGACGCATCAAACATCAAATGAAAGGTATTAAGCTCTCATAGAACGCTATTGAATAGTTTTGGAATCGACCATCCGGTTCCGGAAATATGGCCGGAACAAGATCCGAAAAACACGTATTTTGGGAACTAAGCCATGTTTCTCGGCAACTACTAAACCGTGGACGCAACAATCACCAAATGTCATAGAGTATTTTTGAAATTGGTCATCCGGCTTTGGAGATATGGCCGGAACAAATTCCAGTGTGTATGAACCGACCCATCATGCAGTACTTGTTTTCCCTTGATCTTGTTTTCCGTGCTAAGCACCAATACTACCGACGCCAGGGAGACAGCTCCAGCACCTGAACCCTACCTATGGACCCATCAACTCATGAACCGGGGACCAACGGCTTTACTTCCCGTGATCAGAGATGTTATGCTTATTTTTCAGCTTCCTGAAATTTCTTTAATCTTCCCCTTGAAGTTTCTTCCAACTTTCCCCTGGAATTTTCATCTATCTTACCCAATTCCTTTTGGAAAGCTGTTTCGACTCCCCTTGGAAGCTTCTTTTTTTCATGAAATACGTTCATGCATTATGCAGGATTGGCTTCGTACGTTGCCGGCGCAGATTTTTCTTCTGTCAAACATGAGCAGTTCTCTACACCGATTTTCGAGTTCGCATAAATCACTACCATTTCTATAACGATTCGGCATTCAACTGACCGCAAAGCTAGTTTATTACGCTTATCACTAACATTACCACGTTCCCTTATCTCAACAGATCGCTCCGCTTCATCGTGATTCTGCCAGTGTTGATCTGCTTCATCTGCACCATCCTGAGCATACTGATAATATTCCAGATCTACACCTAATATTTGCTGCAACGGTAGCCACCGCTGGATGGCTATTGACGACCGAACCGGAACAGGAATAACTCTGTGTCGAAGCACACAAGTCCCGAAAAGTTACACCAACCGACGATGAATGTGTTGCGTTCATCCATCGAACCAATTACCAACCAACTTTTCTTCTTTGAATCGTTCTGGAGAGACGATAGTATTGAGGTCCGTCAATAGCCCACCCAAGCGGTGGTTACTCGTTGGATGCAGAAACACTGAACCAATCCGAACCGATCAGAGGACACGTCAGCTAACAAACCCAATACCAGCCAGAATACTACTGATGATAGCAGATCTTCGATTAGTTCGTAAGACACGTACGCTGAGAGGTGAAGCATGTCACGTGTTTTTTGTTTGTTTGTGTGAGTGAAAGGTTATTAAGCTTAAAGTTTCGAGTTAAGCAAGTGAAACTGTATGTAAACGTAAGTAAGTATGGGCGAAACGGACAAAGTGCGATATTTGTCTCCAGGGTCTCTACTTTTAACAATGATAAAGTAATAAACAAATGAAACAAAATACAAACACACTCACATTACACACACACACACATGTCTAGAATGGGAAGAAGAAAAGTGAAGCTGTAGGTTCTAGATGTAAAATTTGAATGGGAGAAAAATCGAACCATGAAAACAAACACGCAAAAAAAAACTATGTGAAAAGTATTTTACTCTCAGATTTTAGAATGTTTCATTATTTTCTTCAAACTTTCTTACGAAAGAGGATGAGAAAAGCCACGGGAGAACAAGGATGGTGCTGGAAGTTTTCTATACTTTCTTTGAAATATGAGATTATATGCAACCATTTTTGTTTTACTTTGAATTGGGTTCGCATCCGATCCCCATCAATGTTAAGTCTGTAAGCATTTAACCAAGAGCCGGCGTTTAAGTTTCGCTCTTTCTTTACTAGCTACCGTGGGTTTATAGAACGATAGCCGTTAATCATTAGTAATTGATAGTCTTTATTTTCATCGTTAATTGCTACTTTAGGGATTTTCTTTCTGTTTATCCGATAGCATATACATCAAACTTATATTTACGTAATATTTAAACCGAAAGAAAATATATTATTTTCTTATATTTTAGCAACTGCTCGTTCCATATTTTATAAGGCTTGAATGCGAGAGGTTGAGAATGAACGAAACAGAAAACAGATCACACGAAGGGAGGATTATTTTTTTATATACTAAAAACTGCTTTGAAGATTTGATTTTTCTGTACATTTCAAATTGTAAAAGCGAATTAAGCTAACTCTAAAAACATTAATCACTCTTTGCTGATAGATTTTGAGCAAAACATAAAAAAAAATCCGTTTTATTTTATTTACCCCAGGACAACATTTCAAGTCTTTTGATCAATTCCAAAATCAGTAAAAAAAAAACAAACAAAATATTTGAAAACAGAAACATGAGGAAATATAAAGAAAACAAACTCAAGCCTAACAAGACCTTAAAAGATAACGAAACTATCACTGCGCTATTTTCAAGATTTATTCTAGTGGTAAACTAAGAGTGTAGAAGAACTATGTGAAGCAAATAAGAAGAAAATAAGGCAAACAAAATACTAAGGTACATGCATACAAACAAAACAAAACAAAAACAACAACAACAACAACAACAGTAGAGAACAAAAACCGAAACTAGCTTAGCTACTCTTTTTACGCAAGAAAATAATAATGAAAAAAGAACAAGTGGGGGCATTTGGACACATTGAGCAAGAATTAGCTATTGTGTTATTGATTTGGAAAGAAACTGTCCCTTTTTTAAATTGATTTGAATATTTTCGGAACAGGGACGACTTGTTAGTGCCCAGAAATAAATGATTGTTGCCATATTGGAATCTAATAAGGCAACTTCCGGTTTGTGAAAAAGTGCCAAATACGCTATAATATATGTGTTTTTGGGACTAAAGGGTGTCCCACATTCAATTGCATCACGGAAAAAAACGCTGTAGAAAATTACCTAGTTGGCCGATCCTTTTCAAACTTTCAGACAATAAAGTATAACCCATTAGTAAGCTTTTGACATATTTATTTTATTCAACTTCAATACCATAATCGAGCGCTCGCACCTTGCGCTTAACTCCACTCATTAGGGTTCTGTACAACATCTGGCTGCAGCTTATTCTGTACGGAAACCCACTTTTTCGTCATGTCTTCTTCAGATTTGACCTCCTTGGGATGCTCCCGTAGTGCCTGCTTCATAATAGCCCATTATTTTTCGATGGACCTTAGTTCCGGTGCGTTGGGGAGGGTTCATGTCCTTGGGTACGAAAGTGACCCCGTTGGCTTCGACCAGTCCAGGACAACATTTGAATAGTTGCACGAAGCTAGATCCGGCCTGAAGGTCGTAGGGCCCTCGTGTTGCTACAACAGAGGAGGCAGACGCTTCTGTAGACACTCCTTGATGTAGATCTCCCCGTTTACAGTCCCGGTAGTCACGGACGGCGCACTCCGTTTGCCACATGAGCAGATCGCTTGCCAAATCATGTAGGGGAAATGTTGGCTTCGGCAATACATTAACCTATTATTGTCAGGGGGTAAACAACGTCTTTGAGAGCTCAATTTTGGCATGTGGATTCATTGTGTTTCAGAGTATCTATTGGCCAAATTTGAGTGCTCTAGGACTTTGTTTACGATAATAGGTATTGCCGAACTCAACATTTCCCCTATTTCTTGGCAAACTTTGAAACTTTCTGCTTCCTTACTTCCTCTGGAACATCAAACTTGTGCTGGGCGGTGAAGAACAGTAGCCACGGAAGTCCGCCTTGACGTAAGTCTCATCATCTGTGATGAGACAATGAGGCTTCGTCAGCATCTGGGTGTACAGTTTCCTGGCCCGAGACTTACTCCTTTCCATTTGATCCTGCAACATAAATCGAACAAAAATCCTGATTAGTAATGAAATTTGGGTTAGAAATACGTATTCCGATTTTTTTTAAATAATTTTTTTCAAAAGTTGTGGCCTTAGGAAAAAAAATTCAATTTTTCACCCTAAAAATGCTTACAAAATCGTGGACTAAAAATCCATTGTTAACAAAATCGAAAATGTGGATACGTATTTCTAAGCAGAATTTAATTCTGAACAAGAAAACCTATGCGATATCCAAATTTGATGATACCTGGTTAGAGTTATTTCCCACACCAGTTTGAAAAACCCCGTTTCGAGATAAACGCGTTTAAAGATAAAAATGCTCTCTCAGCGCGCCGGTACATGTTTTAAGAAATCGCTTCGTAAAACGGTAAGGAATATTCTGGCGGACTTGGAGTCTTTTCTTAATTAAAATATTCATCCCAAGGAACATTTTAAGCCAAAAAAAATGCATTTTTTTGAAAAATCAAAGTGTACTCCCCCCTTAAACACTTTCACGACACGCTTGTGATCCTGATCACTAGAACGTCCATTCTGACCGCATTTCTCTTTCCGTTCGATGCTCAGAGTTTCGTAGTAACGTTCAATCACACGACTCACTGTTGACGGCACGATTCCGAGCTGTTTTCCGATTTCCGATGAGAATTTTCCAGGTACTTGCGTAAAATCAATTCGCGACGTTGCTTTTGGGGTGCCGCCACTTTCGAAAAACTGACAGCGGTAAAAATAAAGTGTAAACAATACTATCTTAACTACTGCTACCCAAAATTTCAAGAGAAAGTACGCAATGGATATTTTTCTACAGCGTTTTTTTTTCCGTAATGCAATTTGATGTGGGACACCCTTTATGACAACATATAGAGATGGCAAAATCGTTTTTTTGTCATTCTGAAATTGCATCAATTATTTACTTCCGGCCATCACCGATCTGAAAATCCCCATATTTTGGAGTATCCGACATTTTTCACAAACCAGTCGTCATCTTGGATTTCAAAATGGCGCCAATTATCTTTTTTTTTTGCTTTATTAGAGAGACTATTAGCATAGAGGTAACTCTAAGACTAGAAAGTCCCGAAGAAACGTGCTCAACTTTTTGGCTCAGCTCTGGTACTATCTTCGGTCCCAAGCTAATCGATTCACCCCTCGAAACAGGAAAATCGACTAACCCCTCATTTTATCTGTCAAACTTTCATAACAAATCAAAACAAACATAGGGTAGTACTAGAATTTCGACTAGAATGGGGTACGTTAATCGTTTGCTTAGGACCAATAGGCTAGTCAAGTAGTGAGCCAATTTAAAATCGTTAGTTTCGTATTGATTGTTGCTATTAGCAACCGGTGGAAACTATAAATTGGCTCACTACTAGCGCCAAGCAAAACGATTAACGTACCCCATTCAAGTCGAAATTCTAGTACTACACAATGTTTGTTTTGATTCGCTATGAAAGTTTGGCAGATAAAATGAGGGGTTCGTGGATTTTCCTATGTTTTGAGGGGTGCATCGATTAGCTTGGGACCGACGATAGTACCAGAGCTGAACCAAAAAGTTGAGCACGTTTCTTCGTGACCTTTTAGTTTTAGAGTTACCTCTTTGCTATTAGCCTTGGGCTGGTTCTTCTCTTGCCAATTATCTATTTCCAGCTTCTACACGTCGTCCCCGTTCCGAAAACACCAGTTTGACAGTTTGTATGTAGGTATGCAAAGGACACCATTACCTAATTGTTGCAAGGCACAGCCATTAGACAGTGGACTGTCCACCTCGTATGATTTGATCAGGTACAATACCTGGTTGTATTAAATTTACCATTGTATTAAGGGTCAACAACGGGGAGTAGACCCGTAAGCAGATATACTTACGCTTGATTCACGGGAGCAAGAAGAATCTCCTTCAAATGATACAAATGTTCCAACCCGATACAGAACAATCATACGAGGGGATGTCCCAATGAGTGGGGAGAAGAGCCCACCTTCAATTCACGAACTGTTAACTACAGGTAGTTGGCAATTCCACTTTCCCCATTCAAATCGCTTCTTTCTATCTAAAGCTCGATTCAAAGTAAATATGGACGCACGATTTAATACCCCACCGCGCCCCTGGTGGTTGGAACAAAAAACGTTTGACAGGCATTTGTTGAAGTTTCATTGACGAAGAAATTGGTGAAAAGTTTTTCTCGATTGATCGACGCATCCCGAAATTACGGATCATGGAACTTGAGAAAAGAAAATTAATTGTGCACAAACATCTAGAGAACCCTTCGTGGTCTGCCTCAATAATAGCAAGAGTGTTAAAATTCCCAAAGTCAACGGTGAGTTTTGTAATCAAACGTTACAAGGATACTCTGAGTGTGGATAGAGCACAGCGCATCTATCATAAAAGTGGCACTAGGGACAAAGAGCTGAGGAGAAATGTGTAGAGGTACGTGAAAAGCAACTCAGGTGTCTCCATACGTGATTTGGCAAAGAAATACGATTCCAACCGTGCGTAACATCCTTTCAAGAGAAGGATATAAGTCTTTTTGTGCCAGTAAACATCCGAATCGCTCCCTGAAACAAAATTTGATGGCCAAAAAGAGAGCACGATTACTATACGAACGAGTTTTGACGAAATTTGATGGCTGTATTTTAATGGATGATGAAACATACGTCAAAATGGATTATAAATAAATTCCCGAACGAAAATTTTACCTGGAAACTGGTCGTGGGGATGTCCCTTTCAGGTATAAATTTGTTTTTACTGATAAGTTTGCTCGGAAACTAATGATTTGGCAAGGAATCTGCAGTTGTGGCCTTAAAACCAAGGTTTTCATCACATCTCACACAATGACCTCGAAGGTTTACATTAAAGAGTGTCTGAAAAAGCGGATTTTACCCTTCATTCGGCAACACGAGACCAACGTTATGTTTTGGCCGGATCTAGCCAGCTGCCACTACCATAGAGGTAACTCTAAGACTAGTAGGTCCCGAAGAAAATCATTATTATTTTTGGCTCACTCAGTACCAGAACAACGGTCCCAAGCAGTCCCAAGCTATTTCACTCACCCCTGCATGTTCTGCATGAATCCACACACCCCTGATGTTATCTGTCAAACTTTCATAGCGAATCAAAACAAACATAGTGTAGTAATAGAATTTCAACTAGAATAGGGCACGTTAATCGTTTGCTTGGGACCAATAGGCTACTAAAGTGGTGAGCCAATTTAAAATCGTTAGTTTCGTATTGATTGTTGCCACTACTCTAAGGAGGTACTAGAATGGTATGCTGCAAACAATGTTAATTTCGTCGCCAAAGAGATTAATCCTCCGAATTGCCCTGAGTTCAGACCGATCGAAAAATATTTGGCAATTGTCAAGCAAAAACGTCGAGGATGCGGTAAAGAAGTGACAAATGCACAACAAATGCGTTAAAAGTGGAATAAGTTCGCCGGTACAGTGTAACCAGCGACTGTGCAGATCATGATGGCATCGATCACAAGTAAAGTGCGACAGTTCGTTCGTAACGGTGAAATGTAATAATTTGTTATATATCGTTTGAAAGCTGAATTAATACACTTTTGTTTGACGTGCATCTTGTTTATTTCTTGAGTTATGATCACTTGAATGCGTCCAAATTTACTTTGAATCGGGCTTTACTCAGTGTGCGCACAGCTAACCGACATCATCGCTCTCACTGAGAATTGGCTCGATACTCGCACATTGTCATATCAAGTGTTTGGTTCCGAATACGAGGTTTTTCGATGCGATCGGAATCCGCACAACAGCCGCAAATCTACTGGTGGAGGCGTTCTCCTAGCCTTCGGCTCTGAATTGAAGGCAAAAGTTATCGAAAACGATTCATGGAATTGTGTAGAACAAG